TTGCGAGGCCCTAAGCTTTAGCTTTTTCAGCTTATACGTAAATCCGGCACTGTCCACCCCTGTTCATCTTACGAATAATTTGAGTAATGTGTTCGATTCAGCTTCAACTGTCGAGGAAAATATCGTTTAACTGTTATCACTGTGTCAAACAGAGGAGATACGATGGTTTAAATTTCGCTACGAACGTGAAACGGTCTTTTTAAATAATTTATTCGTTTACAAAATATTAAGGTAACTTTGAATTTTTCTAACGGACTGCGTACATTTTTGTATTAAAATTGAGAGAAACAGTGAATTTACTATAAGAAAACGGTGAAATAAGAGTAATTTATATCAAATTAGAGATTATTTGAATTTTCTATAAATTATAGGATTACTAAAAAGAAAAATTAAAACGAAACTATAGAATGATAAAAAGGTGAACACAATTTTCCTTCTTAATTAAGAGATGAAACATGCACAGGTGTATAGAAGTAAACCATGTGAGACCATGAACAACGTCTTTGCTTGACAAATGAAGCTTAATACTTACAAAACATTCACAAGTTCCGCGACTCACCTTGCGTTCACCTGCAATTACTCTGTTTGCCTTATTCACTTTTCTTGTACTCTGCAAACTTTGTCCACACTTTCCCTATTACCAACCACTCGGAATATCAATCAACCTCTTTGATACTTCCAATTATCGATACTGAATCGCCAAAGAATGGTTCACCGATGAAAACTAAGCTCAAAGTAGCATCAGTACGCTTATCACACCAAGAGCCCATAAATTTTACCATTGTCATTTATATTCGAGGTGGCAATATCTATCAAAGGAGAGAAAAGCGGGAGAGAGAGAGAGGAGAGAGAAAGGGGAAGATAGAGGAAGAAAGAAAGGGGAAGATAGAGGAAGAAAGAGAGAGAAGAGAGAAAAGGGAAGATAGAGGAAGAAAGAGAGAGGCGAAAATGCAAAAGAGAAGGAAAATGCACAATTGGTTTCGAGGATTCATCGTGAATCGACCAAGGTCAGGGTTCATCGGCGTAGATCGTCCCGCTGGCTGTCTCGTTTCCCGGGGTCGAGGCTGCCAATCGTTAATCAACGGCTCGTTATCCGATGCTCGATCGTGGAAGACACAAGTAGCCGTACTCCTATAACCGAACTGGGACACCGAGAAGAGAGCTGCGGACGTTAATTACTCTCGATCGTCGATTATCGTAAATCGTGTCGCTCGGTGGGCTCTCTTTAATGAGATACACCGATGGAGATACACCGCGTCTCTCAAGGGTATCTGTATCTAAGTCGGCCTCTTGATGAAAGTGAGAAGACAGTTCGAGCTCTTCAAAGGCCTGTGCAAATAAATCCTTAAAGCGAAACATCTTCTTCTTCTTTTTTTTTTTCGATGTTTCTATCGATACCAGAAGCTGTTCCATTGATACGTTGTTTAGGGAAATCTGGCGAGCGATGCTAAACTGTACTGCGCCGACACGATCGCATATCTTTAACCAGGATGGTACCGGTTTCTTAATGAGAAGACGCAATAGGATAATACTTTCCCGTTTAACAAGATTTAAACGTTTGACGTGGCTGAAGGAATGCCTGAAAATTAATGAAACGAAATGCCGTTCCCCGCGGAATTGTCCGAATCCTCCTGTTTCCTCACGAACACGAACTGGTCTTTTTTCTTTTTCTTCTTCTTTTTAATTCGTACAGAGCGGTGTTGCACAGTCGAAAACCACGAGCTATCGAGAAATTTGCATTCCGACGACTAAACCTTCTTTGACTTCTTTAATCTTCTAACGGCTATCCTGGATTTATGTTGTACTACCGGTTTCGATAGTTGATCCGTTGACTTCGATCCTCTAATGGATGCGACGAATTTCGAAAAGATAGATTTATACCAGAAGTCCTCTCGTTTGTGGCATAGAAATCGTCTGTTTAACCGAATACCACCCGTATGATTGCCTAATATCGAGTATTAGAACTGTTTAACGCTGAATTTATACGATAGATCGAAAAACACTGTACGAACAAAATGGAGGATAACCGAGAGCTTCCGTGAGTGGGAAGAAATTTCTCTCAAGGTCCATTAGTAAGAGTATAAAGTTCTAAATTTGCAAATATAAGAATATATCGATTTATACATTCTCCGCAAAGAGATAACCTGAAAATAGTAGCTGATTTCTAGCTAATTTAAATAACACGCTCGCCTACATAATTCACCGATCTACGATCTATGAAACACTCTGAGCGGAGTAGCACAGCTACGTACAACGTGAACCTTTAGGAAGTTCAAGATTAGCTCGGTCACGTTTAGTAGGGCATCATTGTTCTTTATAGAGAAAGCCAAAGGGAGAGTGTCGTAGATCTGTCTGTTTTACCTCGATCGGGTACGCACGTTCCTGTAAGTATCTATATATACAGGGTGTCCGAATTGTTTCCGATCAAACTTTGCCAGTGCATTCTATGGGTGCAGGCAAGAGAAAAATGTTATATGAACATAGGTCGTTTGAAGCTTTATTAAAGTGCTGTAACAATAATACGAAATATATACGGTAACGGGTGTGCGGTTATTATGATACAAAATAGCAATAGATCATGTGTACATCTAGCCTGTTTATGCGATATAGAGTGCAACTTTCGCCAGCGCCATTTTTCTCTTGTACCAGTTCGTTACCATTTCTTTCATATTTCCTATTTTTGTTATAACTTCTTAACGAAGCTTCAAACGACCTACGTTTACATAACATTTTTCTCATACCCATGCCCATAGAACATACTGGCAAAGTTTGATCGGAAACAATTCCGACACCCTGTATATATATTGCATACGAAGAACACAATTGTGCACCAAAAGAGAAAATGCCACGAACTCGTCGCGCATATTTAGCGATCCGAGGTCCCGACCCCGATCGTCTAGATTTACCTGAGCGTTCTACTAATTGCTCGATTCGCTTTACGGTAGCTGTGCACCGCGCTCGCAGAAGTAGAACTCTCTTATAGGTAATCTCGCGTGCTGCGCGTTTATGTATAGCATTGCCGAAGAAAAGTGGAAAGTTTGTATTGGATCACCTCTGAATGTTCCCGCGGTTTTAAGCCTTTCATTTTGAAGAAAAGGAAACACCTCCATTGAAATTAAACGTTTCTTCTTCTCTCAGAAATTCGGATTTCTATGTATACGGAATTAACGCTGTTGTAATACGTCAAGAAAAGTGTGTCGAACATTATGGAAATTATTTCAAATAAAAATGTTCAATTTCAACGGAGTTAGGTTCTTTTAAATCACGGGAACTTTCAGGATGACTTTAAATCTTCGTAACTTCTTCAAGTTCCCATATTTAGCGATAATTCTTGTCGTATATTTTTCTCTGCATGCTTCAATCTGTTTGTAAGAGAAGACAAGATACCACAAGTGCCCTCTAAATTCGAATAGCAGAAGAGAACAGAAACGAAGGGATATCTCTCGGCTGTTAAATACAGTTTTACATTTATCCACTCGTATCCTCTGAAAAATCCGAAAGAGGTAATGCATTATGACTAATACACGTAAGAGCATTTCTAGTGGTCGTGAAAGTGCATTCGGTTGGCTTGCGGTCGATTAAGGCTTCCCAACGAGAAGCCATTCTTACGGGCTACACGAATCACGAACCTTCAGGAACGTAAATTGCCGCTCGTGTTCCTAATGGTTTCACTCTTCGCTCCTCGTAATGGAAACCTCGTCGGCGACTTAATACGTCCGCTTACTTAATAAATGTAATCATTCGTGACGAATGTTGGTAAAGTGGAAGACCATTAAATAATTCAATTACGCTTACCTTCCTGTATACTCGCTATTCTCTTCCTCTGTCCACCTTCTTCCTGTACTCTCGTTAAATCAACACCGCCGATGCACACGCTTTTCAACTCTCGTCCGGTTCACTATCTTAACGTGTGCAACGGATCCGAATGTTCTAAGACCGGTTTCACGAGAGATTATCGGGATACGTTTCGTGGATAAAATTTCGCGGAGAATCCGAATTGAAATTTCGTGAACAGGAGATTAACATTTTAACGAACCGTTTGTCCCACTCGGCGACCAGTAGGGCGACTATTAATTACAAAGTGAACGAACTGTTTCACCACGAGCTCTGCAACAAGGTACGCGAGGAATTCGCCGAAATCTAAGGACGATCGTTATAATTGTAAATCGGAACGACATTTCTACGAGCGACATATTAACATACGAGACAGATAAAACGAACGATTAACACTTTTATCGAGACCACCCGAAACGTTCTCGTACAGTTTCATTTATGAACATACGTATCTTTAGAGGCATGTTAATGTATCAAGTTCGTAAAGGAATTCATAAGTTTTTTTACCTCGGATGAATCTTTCATTACAAAATACCGGCACGTAGACTGTCTGCGTGTTTCTCGATCAAAGGAAGCGCTGTCCCATTCAGCTTTCGTGCGGAGCATCCCGAGTGTTCGAATCAGCCATATAATTGCGCCGCGTTCAGATAACCGCGGGCGATACGAAGCGGAAATGGGGCGAAAAATTGCAAGCTATCCCTTGCATACGCACGCAAATGATCAGTTGCTGAAAACGTGAACTTCCAAACTGGGGAAACGCTTAAATTTGTCCTACATAACAACAATGTACCGCGGATGTTCCGCAAATTACGAAGAACCGAGCCACTCGGAAACCAAAATGATTAACTCCACTTTTTATAATTCTTCCGATTTTAGTATCAAAGTACATGCTTAATTCTTCATAAATAAAAGAAATTTAATCAATTTTGTTACATCGAGTTAGTCACTTTGGCTTCTTAGTGGCTCAACTTACAAGGGAACATGCTGAAGTTAAGATCACCGATTTTCATGAAATTTTGATATACAGTAGATTCTCAAAAAAATATCGTTGCGACACGTATCGTTAATAGTGAAGGGGTGAAAATCCGCCCTAAGGGAGTGGAATCGCGTATGATTCAAATTGCTAGACATGTATACTAATTCCATCTATTTTTCTGCCTTTTCAGAATGCAACGTTGCTGGTTTCGTAAGCAACACGGGCCAAGTCGAGAGGGTACCATATGTGTTTCTACCTCAACGCGGTCAGATAATTTATCCTCATGCGGAGATCCGTTTTGAAGGTGAGTTATGTAAATCGAACAGATACACTAAAATAGGTACAGTTTGGGAATTTTTTTCGTACGTAACTACTAAATGAAATGTTTCAATTTTTTTAGGAGATATAACTGCAACTTTCACCTTTCTCTCCAATTTTTTCGAAGCAGAAATGTTACAAAATGGCGAAGTTATTGCGAAACTTCTTCTGGTAGAACGTCGACTACTGGCTGCCATAGCTGGCAGGGATTGAAACGTCTAGAATAAAAGATTCTTTCTGAATGAAAATGCGTTATCTACAATGTAGCGTAAGATTTTTCAAAAATCCTGTATATTAGAGAAATGGTGGCGGTTTGAAGAGGAAAAACCTCTTTTTACCAAGAAGAATCAACCTTAAACATTTCTGAAAAATTAAATAATTGACATATCGAAAAAATTGTGTGCTACATTGTAGGTAATGCTTTTTTATTTATAAATCTAAAAGAATTTTTCATTTTATAGTTTTAATCCTTGCCGGTGATGGCGGCCAGCAATCGACGCGATCTTCTAACAGAAGAAGTTCCGCAATAACTCCGCCATTTTCTAATATTTCTACTTTTCAAAAATTTCAGAAGAAAAGCCGAAAGTTACATTTGTATCTTCTGATAAAAATTGAAACTTTTCATTTAGTATTTACCTATGAAAAAAATTGCCAAACTTGACCTATTTCTGTGTCGGTGTGGCCCCTTAAATTAAAGAGAAAAATTGCGAGATCCTGCGAGGTCCAAATAAGACTGAAAGAATTGTTTTCACTTGGTATATAAAGGTGTAACGACTCCAGTGTGCGGTATTACCGGAGCGCAACAATTAGGACGAGCAGGATGGTCCGAGTTGAGGAACCTCTCAGACACGGAGCCACCCTTCAGGCTGTTTCGTGACGAAGGCAGAACATTTCTACAGGTTGGTGATGTTTGACTGATACAGAATAAGTTATTACGCTGTCAGTCGATGGAACGTCATAATATGGCATATAAACACTTCCCGTGAAACATGTTCGAGATTCGTGCACAAAGAGATTCGTTGGAATTTTTCTGAAAGCTCGATTCCACGAATTTGGAAATTGAGTAATTGTAAATCTCCTTTATCGCAAATTTACGAACTACCTCGAATTCCGGTGGTATTATTTGAGGCTTCCGGGTGTAAGCCATGCCCAAAAGAAATTATACTCCGACGTTTCGCCAGCACTGCAGCTAGCTTTATCGGGGTCTGGAGACGCACTGATATTGGTGTGAGTCAGGGTGTCCTACAAGTACCTATGTTCATTTAAATCAATTAAAAATCAATTAAAACGGGAGGATGGTGCTCCAGATAGGGTTAAGTTGTGTCTCTATTGATGTTATTCGGGTTTTTCATCATTTCTAAGGAGTCCCTATATTTGCTTGGGAAATATCCTTTTATTTTATCGAACAAAGTCTTGTGCCCGGTTTCTAAATGATGTTCCGTTATTGCTGATTAGGGTACATACTAGGGTACATACAATCAGCAATTGGACACGGCTTAAACCCGGCGCAGCAATGACGCAGACCTAGGCGTAGGACCATCTATACTGACACTTGTAGAATCCAAACTGACTGACACTTGTAGAGAATTTGCTGTATTCAGCTACTCTATGGACTGAATAGGCTATGTCTTTATTTCTGCGATCTTTTCTCTTTATCTACCGCATAAAAAGAGACTGGACTGTATTAAGAACATGGTTTTTTAATTCCCCAATACACGTTACAAGTGTCCCGTGTACACACGTGTATACGTATCTTCAGCACACGTTCAAAGCCACGATCTCTAGTTTTGATTTCTCTGTAACTTTGAACATATCCTCTTTTACTCCTGCAATTTTCTTTCTTCTTCTTCTTTTTTTCCTGTCCTGATCCGACGAGTGGAAATAGAAACGATCGGGTGTTCCGTCTTAAGTACATAAGATCGCTTCACTCGTAACATTTTTTCCCTGCTTTACAACTGGATCGAAATTACTTCGCGGCAGCTTTCAGCTGGAAAAATATAGGCGCGTAAGACGACGGGAAGCATCGTAATCCTGTGTCGGTGGAGAACAGTTGATCGACCGGCAAATGAACGTCGTTCCTCGGTCAGTTCGAGGCAAATGAACGAAGGACAGCTCTGATACCTTATAAAAACTCTGATGTAGGGTTAATAAAGGAGATCGAGCGAAGGGAGCGGACAGCGTTCCTGAACGGAATGTGGACGCTGCGTTAAATTGTCGTGCACATGGGGAACATGAGGCGTGGACGCCGAAATACATGTTACTGTTATTGACGATCTGACGAAGATAAAAATCGACGTGCAAAAAAGGAAATTTCTCTTTGATACGCTTGGTTCTCTTTTTTTTTTCTTATTATTATTATCCAGCGATCTATAATATTAGGTCGTTCAGTAAGTTCGTTGACCGTTTATTGATGTGCCATTTAAATCAATATTTCCAACGTACCTTTTAAGTTACCCTTTCGTTCCATCTTTTTTCGTCAGAACCGTTATACCTTTGCTCTAAAATTCCTTCAGTTTTTCATTCAATTAGTTTAAACGTTATTTCTTATGGAATCGACATTGTGAAATTTGTTGCCCACTGAGAAATGTTGCAACGCACGAAACAGATGGTAATTTCATGGGTCAAATAAAATTTTCTAACCGAATTCATGTCATTTTCTTTTTTGCACCTTTCGTGTCACATGTGATCTGACATTATCGTCTCGAAAAATCAGCTGGTTTCGATTTAAGAATCCTGAACGTTTCACTGCTGTCACTTCTCTCATCTTTTCTAACTGAGCACAGTGTACACGTCTGAATGAATGGTATCGTTTCACGAAAGTAACTCGTTGTACAAAGCACGTCGCTTTAAAAATGAAATTCCCCAAGCTTCAATTGACAACCAATACTTATCGCAGCTTGAAGTTTAATCTGAGCTATTTTGCAACAGTGGATAGGTGAATCTGGATTGAGAGAAGCTGCAGAGGGCAGAGTGGTGACAGCGAAACTGGTCTGCAGAGACGCCTCGCCAAAATCGAAGCTTCCGAGTGTCTTTACCCCCTGTGTGGCATTCAGAGTAGCTGGTTCACCGTCAAAGAGCAGTCAGTGTCAATATTTCCAAGATTTTTCAAAAGATTCGCATCGTCGTTCGTTTCAAATCTTCCTCATGCTTCGTTCTTTCGCCTCAGACGTTCGAGAAGTGATGTTCTCTTCAACAACTCAACTATCTCAAGGGCTATCCACCACGGAGTACACAGCTATCGGCCTTTCATCTGTGATCCTGGCCCTGATCTACGTAGCCAGCGTGTCTTTGTATTTACATAGTAAGAAAGCCAAAAGGAAGATCGTCGAGGAACCGGAAATAAGCTTGACTCCTGGTCGAGAGATCAGTGGACTCGTGAAGAATAATCCATTGTTAGCTGCTTCGAGGCACTTCGAGAGCGACACTAACAGTGGTCTAACGGAGAGCGATTTTGGAGATGATTTGGCACCCAGTGACGGTGAACAAGGCTTCGAAACTGTGCGTACAATTGTCAAATGTATCGGGTGTAGAAATGAATTCTTTCCGACCGGATTCACGCAATTGATTCAAAGCCACCGAGCTTCGCAACCTGCCAGAAAAATGGCAAAAGGTCATCGACAATAATGGCAATTAGTTTTCATACTTTCTAAATAAAACATCGATCGTAACGAAAAGTCGGGAAGAATTGATTTCTACGCCTAATAAAGTGAAATAAAGAGAAAGAAAGGGATAAGTAAATCGAAATCATTCGAATGTACAAATTTTATGTTTCACCCAAAAATAGATAACTTCAGCTATTATTCATCCCCATTGTGTGTACATGGAACAATCGGAGATCTGTTTTGGATCAGGAACGATACTAGGCGAGAGATTACCCGAAGAAGATGTTCGAGTAGTGGAAACAGCGGATAATCCTCATCAGCAAGAAGTTCCCGTGCTACCTGGTGCTCAGAGAAGGAAACTATACTTCAATCCAGCCTATTTCGACCGACAGTTACTCCTCGTAAGATCTAATTGGAATATTAACAAACTAAAAAGAAACTTTCATTCCCTTCTAATCGAATATTTAGCTAGTTCATTGTATACTTTGACAGCCCGGCATTTTTCTAGGCGCCCCCTCCAGCAGCCATCGAATTCCTTCTCAAAATTCGGGAGGTCATCTCTATTGCCAAGCACAAGATGGCGGCGAAGAGATTCGTACCAACTCTCGTCGGTCAGTTCGCTGCATTTCTTCACTCGTTTAAAGGGGTATTCGGGTTCAGATTTCACGATTTCTTTTTCCTTTTTCGTCCTTCAGCTGCGTCCAATCAGTGATAAAGACTTGAAATGTTGGCAACATTCGTACGAACATCCTTGCTGACTTGTCCCAAGGCTGGCGGCTTTCCTATTGGCCAGAAAAAATCGAACCAAAGATTTTTTTCATCCGTAAAAGTGTCGCTATTGTCTCGATCGCGATGATAAATTTGAAAAAATTTTCTACAAAATAGCAAGGAGTTAAAGTCAGAAACACGTTTTTTCCTGCGGTTTTCGTAAGTTCCAGGTGCCAAGAAAAGCAAAGTTTTGAAAATATTGTGCCAATTTTGGTTAGTACAATAGCGATAGATGTTCTGAGTACACAGTATAAAGAGGAAAGCATTCGATCGAATAATTTCCAAGAAAACCGGGGGAGAGTGTTGGAAAACTTTGTTTCGAGACAACCGCGTTTAAAGATTTTCGAAGATCTGCATCAGACATGGTCTTGAGCCAATCAAACCCTCGTAGCTCTTACATATTCTCCAGGCTATAAAGAGTGCAAAAATGGGGGAAAAATGTCCGAAAACCAGAATACCCCGTTAAAGGAAAAAATGAAAAAGGATATTGAATTCATTTAAAGAACTTCTGCTTGTTTGATCCATTCAGGCATTCCGGAGGAGGAGAACAACTCGGAACACTGCGACTCCACAGGCAAGAACCATCACCAGTCCGCTTCGAACTCTGTCCAAGGATCCATGACAAAGTCACGGAAGTCACAAAGATGCACCGGGTGCCCAGGTTGCACGGACTCTTTCAGAAACACTCCGTCGCTTCCGGAAACCGAACAGCAAAGTCCTGGTGAGAGTAAGGTGAGAGCTTGGCTGGAAGACGTCAGATCTGCACCTCAACGACGCTGGAAAGACGCTGAGGAGGCTCGAAGGACCCTTCAAGAGAACACAAGGACCTTCAACAAGAATCTGGAATACTTGAAAGAATTAGCTAAGCGAGATTTTGACAAGGAGATGAAGGGTTTGGCTGGAAGAACGCTTGCTTCGTGGAAAGACAATCCTCCTATGTTGAAGACGTTCCAGAACATGGCTAGAAGCGAGATCCTTGAGACAGACGATAGGCATAGTATATCGAAACGTTCGACAAAGTCCATGTTTGAGGAGACGAATTATTATTCTCTGAGAAATGCAGACTCTGCGGCTAGGTCTAACGGCGACGAAGTGATCAACGCTAAAGTAAGGAAAGCTATTGAAAATTCGTTTATCAAACAGATGGAAGAGAATGCTACGATAGAGACAGAAGTAGTGGAGAAAATAGATGAAACACTGGAAGACGAAGAAGTGCCTGAAGAAGAGGACAGCAAGGAAGAAGAGAAGGCAGAGGTAGATGGGAATTCGTTCACGCGAAAGAAGGCGAATATGTTAAGTGGAAATTCGGCAACGACGGAGAAAGAGTTGCCGGATATGATCAATGAGCTTCCCAACTCAAAGAATACGGCAAAACGTATCATGGATGCTGTGATTCGCGAGATGGTCGACGCAAAAGTGTTGGAACATCATTCCAGGTCAGGAAACGTTACAGATTACGAGGTGGACAGTTTGGAGCGTTCTAAGAATAGCAGGAAATCTTCCACCTCGCCAGAATCTACCGATCAATCTAGTCCAGCTTTGTCTACAGCACTGCCCATGGACGAAGAATTGACTATGCAGAACGCAGTGATCAATACTAGAACCAGAGAGATGATCATGTCGAATAAATTGAACAAAGACGTTATAGAGAGGAACTACTACAACAGTCTACCCGAGTTAATTTCTTCGCAAAGGTCTGAGAGTTATTCGTTAGTTAGCGAGGTCTATGTGAACGATGGCTACGATAGTCCAGCCTGTAGCGACGACTCTGGCCCGGAGATTCAATACGAGCCAGAAAATCCAGGACATTTGACCATCAAAGTTCAAGATTCTCCGGAGAACTATGTGAAACAAGATGAGTCTGAATACGAACCCGACACGCTAGATAGGAAACCGATGAAATTGAAAATCAACGACGACGTGAATTACGAAAAAGAAATTCCTGACGAGGTCTACGTTGATTCTCTCGAGAGGCCGGTTCAAATTCTCCTCAAGAGTAAGGGTAGCTTTCGAGATCAAGACTCTGCAAAGAACGGTTCTTGCTTGCAGCGTGGTTACGGCAGCCTTCGAGAAATTTACGAAGCCAGACTGAAATCGAACTCCAGAGATTTATTCAACAGCACCAAGTCGTTAAACGGCCATTCGGATGATTCCACGTCCTGGAAGAAGTGCAAGTATCTAACACCGGAGATGAGGCAATTGAAGAGGCAACGACAACCGAGTAACCAACCAGACGTGGTGCCACTACCACCTACAGAGGACATATATCAGCACCCAAAGCCTCCTCGGCGAGTAAAGGATCTGAAGTTATCGTCGAACTGCTCTTTGTCAAAAAACGGCTGGGACAGGAGTCCTGCCGAAGCGGGTGACCCTACGACCAGCAACGGTGCTCCTGTCCCCAGCAACCACTCAAACGTAGGGACCTCTGATTGTACTTGCAAGCCTCAGTTGCAAGCTGAACGGTTGATAACAAAATGTAGACATCAGTTAGAAAGTCAAATGAAAAGTAACTCCTCGAGAGGGAAATTGAAGAGCAATCTTTCCGCGTCCTGGGGCAATTCTCGTAATCAGAAGGAGAAAAGGAAATCTCTGGATCAGTGTCATAGGCAGGACTGTGAGAGAAGGCACAGCGAATCTGAGATTTGCAAGAAACACTTGATGATGAGAGCTAGCAGAAGCTACGAATCCACGAGTAATTCAGGAAACCATTTCGCCGGTTACCAACTGCCACGAATGAAGGTGGAAGACAGTGGTTACTTAAGTAGTACAGATAGCAACGGTTCTCATAAGCAATTATTGAAACACGAGGTGAGCAGCGTGTCGGAGACAGATGAGACTGAGTCTGTCTGTGACGGGGCCAGTGAAAGTGGCGCTGAAAGTGTTGGAACGGACAGCGTGTTCTTTGGTAACTTTCGTAAACTCTCGGAGATGTCTGGCTTCTCGAAGAGTATAGATTCGGGTGTTGAAATTGTGGTAAAGAATACATATCTTCAGCCATTTTGTAGTAGGAGTGAGAATGGGATCTTAGACAGGGCGAATTTCAGCACGAGCGACAGCGAGACTGAAAGTTTCATCACGGTTCTTCCACCTTGCGGAAGTAGGGAAGCAATTTGATCTTCTAACTCGCGGAGAATTCGAATGGATTAGTAAGATTATTGTGCCTATCTAGAGGTTGCAATTGACAATTGTGATGGTAATTGTAGGTATTTTCGTTTCTTTTCTTCTTAAGAGTTTTATATACTAGCGAAATGAAATCTACATAGAGGGGATATTTATAGGGGTAGAGAAATATTTTGAGAATGTATAATGACGTTTTGTTTGCGCGGAGCCTTTGTTCCCGTGTGAGTTGAGGTTGCAAATTGATCGAGATGTGGGACGCGGTTGCAGGAAAAGAATCTTTTATATCGTTGAACGGTGACTTTTAAGTAGCAAGATACTTTTATTTCACTGTTCATCTTTGAAACTTGAATGCACACATTGTTGCAGTCTCTATTCTCGAATGCAACATCGATGGAAGCACTATTTCGAATGCAAAACATTGTTGTACGCGTTACTTTTGAACGCAACATTGCTTCAAGCGTTATATTTGAACGCAAACATTGTTGGAATCTCTATTTCTGATTGCAACATTATTAGAAGCGTTATTTCGAACGCAAACATTATTACAAGCACTATGCTTGAATGTAAAATTGTTACAAGTGCCGTTCTCGCTTGCAACATCGTTAACTCGCATTATTATCGAATGCACATTGTGGCAAACGTGTTATCGGGTTTGCAGCTTTGTTGTCGCGAATCGTTCTCGAAAATTGCACATTGTTGCGCGACGCGCCGTGTTCTAACGTCGTGCCTTGTTCGAGAACGATTCGCTGCGACAAAGTTGCACGCGCGATCTCTCCTTTGCAACTTTGTGTCGCGGGCGCGATTCGCGAAAAATTTGGATTACATTTACGTATTTACTTATTACTTATTATCATTTATTAAGTAAGCAAACATGCTCAAAATTATATCGTGTTTGGTATCATTTTAATCAGAAAAATGTGACAAATATGTTGGTAAAAATTTCATTCGTTACAAATCAAAAATAGGAAAGTTTGATTTTTTAGTTAAAGGTCTCAGTTTATTCGTTTGTCCTCAACTGCTTTAATACAGAAAACGTTCCAGAAAAGATATTCAAGATTTTCAGAGATAAAATTATGCATTGCAGCTATAAACTTAGTGAAAGGTGAGCGGGAAGCAATCCGAAAAAAGAACGATTTTTAACGCATAGAGTGTTTCATGTATAGGAAAAGAAATAGAATTTGAAGAATTACAAAACGGTACGGAAGAAAATCAGAATAGATCTTCAAATTCTTTATGTGGTCGTAAGAAACATTCTTTTAACGATAGCAGCAATAAGACCAAAAAGAGAACAATACAAAAGTAAATAGAGAATTAATTATATCACCGTGTAAAAAAAACGCGCGAAGCGAGGTTACTCTTATTTTGAACGATGTATAGACATGCTACAGTATTAAATACGTTTTGGAACGAGTCAAAATCAAAATTAAATCGCCATCGAGATCTAGATAGAGGATTTTACACGTGGTAATATGTATATTCACGTACGATAAATGTATTTAATTTTGTTCAATTTACGGCCAGTGCGTTAGTTGTTCATATTACTTCTTTTTCTATTTTCTCGTTTCCATTTTTCTTTCTTAGAAGACAAATCGTAGGTAGGAAATTCTTTATTACTCTATTACCGAACTCATTTTCTCGACGAATAGAATAATTTGTTTTTTTTTATTTACTTAATCGATTATACGTGTGGAACGCAACGCGTCTAGAAGTTCGCCAAGCGGGTAAATGTACTTATTTTAATCGTTAATATCGAGTCGGAGAAAGTAATCTATCTTGCATTTACTATTTTAGTGTACTAGTTATCCCAAGTTTTAATATAATGCAGAACTATAAATAGAATTTTAATATATTTATATTATCCCAGACAGCACACGACGTCTTAGAGATGTCCATTTTGCGTTCCGTTTTGGACAAAAGATATCGAAGAAGCGCATAGTGGTTCACAGCGCTACGTTTCAAAGACATTTCAATTTGTAACAGTAGACGCCGTTCAAACGTCATTTGGACATCTTCAGGCTTTCACTAGATGTCTTTAAAACGTTCACAAGACGTCTGTGTGCTATCTGCGATGCGTTACGACAAGGTCTACTAAATTTAAGAGAAACATTTGTTCAATTATTTACCTTAAAATTTACTATTAACAAAAAAAATTTATCGCGGCGGACACGGGTGTTCAGAAATCACCATCGTAATTTTACTTAACTGATAAAATGGCCGGAAGTGCAATATTACCTGATAAAAGCATAATAGGTAACCGTTAAAAGGATTACCGACATTTTCCTTAGAATATTGTATAATTACCAGAAGTTAATTGCTAGTCGATGTGATAATAATTTCCTAAAGAAAGAGAAGAAAATTTTTATATTAAACAGTAAATAAGAAAAATTATCGAATAACAGATTCAATCATATAGTTATCCAATTTTAAATTTAGTGTGTGTGTGTTTTTTTTTATCTATGTTATCGATACACTTGTTATTGTTGTTTTTCCTGTTAGTCATTGAACAAAAGAGATTATTACAGCACATTTCGTATATTCATCGAATAGAGGCATCGACGGCTCATTGATGTTTCATCACATAACCTTATTTAATTGTAATTTTATAATTGTTGTCTTTGTTGTTGCAAAGTATTACGTTTTATTTAATAGAGACATGTATCACAGGATAGTGTTAATTGTATTTGTTACTAGCGAAAAATAGATTTATAAACATTTTCTATATATTAATTTATAGTACGATATATCCTAATATATTCTTCCGTTAATTTATTATACAGTTCTATAGATATGTGTACGAGGATAAAGAACAATTATTTAAAAACCAGAACCTATATATATAGTAATAATCATTACATTCCGAAGCTGAAAATTTCTATAAAAAATCCTCGCATCTGTTGTAATAAAATGGTCCTTTTTGTATGAGAAGCGCACGCTTCAATGTACCTGCCAAATGTATATATATATAAGATAGATTTTAATATATTGAATGTGTGTAACGTTATAATATAAACAACGCTAATGTATTTTATACAAAGTCGAGAAAATTATGCACTCTATTGTTACGAATAAAATGATCACGTGGAAAAATTTATTTAACATAGAACGTCCATGTATAGAAATCGTGCAACGATTTAATACATTATACATATATGTATGTATGATACATATTGCATCGAATGTTTCCAACGACTACCTCCGATCCGCAGCTGAAAACTTGTTCCCTTGAAAATAAGCTGCGCACGATAGAAAATACGTAATTTCCAAAGTGAATGTACGTAAATCGGTTTCTATGACTGACATAAATAGAGAAATGTATAGATAAAGTAACAATCGGTACAGTATAATTCTAAATTAAAAGAATTAGCTTCGACAATCACAGATGATACTCTACTGTATTGACTGTTAAATTTACGTTGCATGCAGAATTCATAAAAATCTATGATACAAGCATGGAAATAGCGTAATTAATAATTGCAACGTAACGTGAATAGAATTTGGGATCGAGAATTAATATTTTCCTATTTTCTCCCATGAATTCGGGGAATATGGTGTTGGCAGGGTTTTAGAGCTTGTAATGGAAACAAAATACGTAAGTATTAAAAGCTGCGAAAGAACTATGTATTGGTATAAAATTTTATAAAATATAAATTTTATTAAACACTATATAATTGTAGATCTGTTGTTATACCGTGGAGGTTGCGCTGTGATCGTAAGTATGCACGCATAATGTAGTTCAACGATGAAATTTCTTTTACAGAGAATACGCGTTATCCCACGAAAATTGATTCGCTTCGCTTAAAAAAAAAATATAGCAAACTACGAATAATAAAGATTGAAATAAGTTTGAAAATTATATGTTCACATTAATTATACTTTTGGCACAATATTTTATACATATGCATTTAAGCATCATTAAAAGCAATTTATGTGAGCAGTGAAATAAGACAAAGATGTATTAAAATACAGATATAAGAGATATTTTAAATATGAATACATATTTATTTTACAGATTTTCTTAACTTTCCGTAGGTTTTAAATCATCATCAGTCATATCGTCAATACCTTCCGACGATTTGTGTAACAATTTTGCAACTAGAGCCATTAGTTTCCTTTGGAAAGATTGAACTTCTTCTAAATTCTCTTCATGATTAGCTGCACTTGCATGTTCCAGTTGAAACTCTACCATTTTCCATAAAATACTTCGAAACGTGAGTAGTATATGCGCGGTTCTGGAAAAAACGATGTATGAAATAAATATTTGAAATTATTCCACAAAGAATAAATATAAAAATACGTACTCTTTTTCACAAATCAAGGTTAAATTTTCTATATTCTCTATATCAAGACGAACTTTTTCTTCATTTGCTGATGTATCATCTTGCATCTACACAAAGAGTAATGATTGACATAGATATAATATTGATATTTAAGATAAAATAAGAAACATACTTTGTTACACAGAACATCACCACTACTGAATAATAGGACTGATAAGGGTGATATTATGCTTGTGTCAAGAACTAAAGTAGATTTCCTTTTAACAAACGACATTGTATATAGATATGTTAATATGTCACTTGGCCATCTTTGTCTGCCGTAATTTACACTACTGGATTTCAATTTAACATATTCGTTACTCCTAAAAGAAAATACAGAGTATGTAATTTTCAGTTCTTTCTTGTATGTTGTAATTAGATTACTTTCAAAAATATACCAACTCGGTATATAAACTGTTTTGATATTTTGTAAAGTATCCTTTTTCATATCCATAAGCATTTCTTTTTATCAAGTGGTTCGTAGCAGCAAATAAAACTGCTCGAATTAATTCATTATTCTTGGAATACATATTCATATATTCAACATTTAATGACGATGGAATTATACCACTTCTAAAAAGATCGTCCAGATGTAGCGTGTACAATTCTGCAAATAATTAAAAATTGTTTTCAGTATTGAATATCGTATATATTCAAGTATTCTTATCAGACTTACGTTTTAGGCTACTCAAATTTTTTAAACTGTTTTTAGGGACATTATAAAACAAGCTATTTTTATTATTAATTAATTCTTTAAAATATTTTAACTCAGCAATATGATCACTTGTCTTATGATGCTGCAGTTTGATGTCTTTATAAAGTACATTATGATTTCCATCTAATGAAACAGTATAATTTATCCAATCAGAAAACATACATGTTAGTGATAATATGGGATCTACACACCTACAAGAATAAAACCAAATCTATAACAGAAAGTACAAGCCCGAAAAGACATATAAGTAAAGGAAAAAAATATGTTGTCGCCTAATTATACGTTTGACGACATTTCTTTCTCTTTCCCATTTTACGTACTGAAAAATACCAGATAATATTACTGCTTTACTTAGTTTCGGAGTTAATGACATATGCTTAACACGCTTTCCCAAATTTGTTAAGTTTTCGTCCTTATCAAGAATGTTAAGCTTTTGTAAATTGTGAACAGCACAATTTATTACCGTATTATCGGGCACTTCAATCATTTCATTCATAAAATCTTTCGCTTTCTTCTTACTATGTATTTTACTAATAATAATTGTTTGTTCCAATGGAATTTTTAGTATATCTGGTTTCGGGAATTTTTCTAGCTCATTATATTCTTTTCGTGTAATTAAATGAAAACTTTCACCACATTTCACACGTCCAGCTCTTCCTTTCCTAAATATTAATACAAATGTGACCCAATTTCTTCTTCTTTCGAAATATGTACATGAAAATCTGTACGATAAGATTTACCTTTGCAAGATATTCGTTTGCGATATCCCTGTAATATTCACACTGGATAAAGATTTATTGTTATCCCATTGTATTTCTCTCTTAACGGCAGTATCTATAACATAACTTATATCTACAATAGTAATACCACTCTCAGCTATATCTGTAGCTAAAATAATTTTCGTAATGTTATTGGGGACTGGATCAAAAACCGCTTTTTGATTCTTATTTGTCACTTTGGAATGAAGAGGTAATATTAATAAATTATCCATTTCTGTACTTTGAAGCAACTTGTGCAGATAGCTAATTTCATGCCAACCTGGGAGAAAACATAAAATACCTCCAGGTGGTTTCGTTCTAATAATCCATTGTATTAGGTCTACTATTTTGTCAAAGGGAACGCCCATTTCCAAAAGATTGTTCTGATTTAAGGACTGCCTTTTAAATATATCGATATCGTCTATAAAGTGCATATTTACAGGATATGTTTTTCCAGGAACTTCACAAATTTCGCAAGAAAAATATTTTTTGAATAGTTCTGTATTTAAAGTTGCAGACATAATTATAAGCTTAATATGCGAATTATGTTTTAATACGTCTTTCAATAACTTTAGCGTCAGATCAGTCTGTATACTTCTTTCATGAACTTCATCTATAATTACATGTGTTACTCTCTTTAAAGTAGGATCAGATTCTAATCTTCGCAATAATATGCCCTGGGTGCAATATAATATTGAACGACCCATTTGTGGTAGTACTTTATCAAATCGTACGTGATAACCTACCACATCACCTGGCTTTTCACCTCTTTCATTTGCGACAGTATTAGCTAAAGATAGTGCTACAACTCTACGAGGTTCAGAGATAAGTATATTACATTCACTTCCCATACTTTCCTCTGCGTGTGCATCAATTATGTATTGTGGAACTTGAGTACTTTTACCACACCCAGTGTTTCCTTTAATCAACAAAATTTGATTATTTTGTAACTTATTAAGAATATCATACCTAAAAAACAATTTCTTTAAATAATACCATATACAAATATCATAGAGATGATAATCACGAAATTTCTTGAATAATAAATAATTTGATAATTTTTATATACATACTTATACTGCAAAATAGGCAAGTCCCTACATATTTTTCTTTGTCTGTAATGGTTTTTCATATTATGATTATATATGTTAATGTGATTTATGGAATTGGTATCTAATGAAATAGAGTCTTCCACATCTACCTTTAAATCATCTTCACTAACTTTAGTTACTATTTCCGAACTTATTTTCTGAAAATAATGACTGTACATAGTTACTTGAAATATTCATAAGTATTAAATACATACTTCTACTGCTTGTATATCTTACATTATTGAATACGTCAATTAGAAGTTGTATTTCATTTTTTAACTGTGATTCAAGGCTAATGTTAATGTATTGTTGAGATTCTAACAAATAATTTATATCTTGAGAAGTGTATAAAATGGGTTTAACACCCTTAATCCTCTTATTTTTAAACAACCAATCTAAGCACATTAATGCTGCATTATAGCTAGCTACTTTTTTATTGGGTCCTTTATAAGAAAAGGAAACAGTTTCAGGCCACGTAATATTAATAGTGCATTCTGTTCCTTTTTGGGGGGAATCTACTGTTACTGTTAATGATATACATTTTTTATTAAATTCTTTATGTACAATATCATATATCACATGAAGATTTTGTAATGGCTGTGGATATAGTTTCTCCAAGTCTAAAGTTTATGACAAAAATATTTATAAAAATTAACAATGTATAATATA